TGTGTGGACTGACTTTCCACTACTTTGCTGCTGTGACTTACCCACAACCCCTAGCAAAAAAAGCAAAAGAAATTTGTTTATTTTTTCTAACAAGAGGACATGATAAGTCCATAAAATGAGTTGACACTCACAAGAGGAGGAGATACACAATCATTGCTTTGCTGATCCTTCAGTTCTGTTTTCGATGTGAACTGTAAGAGTAAAAGAACGCTGCACTCGACTTGCAGAATACTGGCTGAAGCTTCTAGCAACACTGCTGGTTATCTGAGGTCAGGGACAGGTAGGCATCTGCTCAGCCCAGAGAAAGAACAGATTCAGAGATGGTGTCAAATGCACTCAAAAGGAATTGTAGAGTCCAGCAAAAGACAAATGGGACACAGATGCCCCATGGGCCTCTTGTACATTTTCTGTCACTTAAGGAGATGGAAGTCTGAGAAGTGCTCTGTGCTCAGCTAGAAACTGTGATAAAAAGAACCAGGAAATGAAAGTCAAAGATTATCTTCCTTCTTCCCTAAGATTCCCTGAGGAGATGAGACCAACAAAAGGAGACTTAATCTTTGCCTGTAAGCAGGCAAGAGACTCCAACTTGAGCTTATTAGCATCATCATTCTTCTCCACTCTTTCCTTTGATGGCCATCTCTCTCACCTCCTTTTTATTTCCTCCAAGTGTCCTTTCTCTGGTACTGCTCATTTGCCATTAATGGTACAGTGAAGACAGTCTAATGCACATTTTCACATCCTAATGCACTCAACACCCATTATCATATCACACAGCGAAAGGACGGAGAGAAAGAAGAAAGGCTCTCTCGCCTCTCCTCTCTGATTTCGGCACTAGCCCTCCTTGCCTATACACAGGAAAAGAAAATAAAGAAAACACAGCAGGGCTTCTTTAGAAAGAAGAACCAGACTATAAAGTAACAGAAAAAAAGTTAAGAGACAAGAAAGAATGAAAGAAGAAAAAAAGGCTTTGAAAGACATCTCTGTCACTGTACACTGATTCATCCACCTCAAGTCTTTTTTCCTCAAGGACAAAAACGTGGAGCACATTTTCTAAGCCATTATGAAAAAAGTCCCTTTTCTCTATCATAAAAATGAATCAATTCTAATTTGAATTATTACTATTATCAATACAAATTATGCATGATAATTATCCTTAAGGGAAGTGCTTATGAACACAAGTGGTTCAGATTTTAGATTTTCTCAGACTTTGGATTGTATGTATATGTAAAATGAGATTTCTGAACTAAGACCCAAGTCTAAATACAATATCCATTCATGTTTTACACCTGTGTTAAATGCCTAGCCTAAATGTGATCCTACACAACATCTTAGTAAGTGCATGCATGAAACAGAAATTCATAATGCAAAATTTACATTTGTAGATAATATAAGCACTTGAAAATTTCCAGCTTTTGAAGCATTTTGCATTTCATATCAGGGATGTCCAATCTGAATATTCATATATTTAACATGATTCTCTATAGAATAACATATGCAAGTGGGCAACACAGAATACTGCCTGATGATTAGGTAATTAAATAAATATGGACAATGCAGATAACACATAGGTGAAAAGTTTCAGAAAAGAAAGACTTATTTTTGAAGACCTTCTAAGTTTGGGGGTGTCCATACACATTTTGGTTGCTTTATAGTCAAACCACCAGAAGAGCACATGACACTAATGGATATAAAAGTATTTTTTTATGTAAGTGTATCTAACTTAGGTCTGAAAAAAAGCACAAAGCTATACTTTACCTTCTACACATTGGGCAGGACAAGGCTCCAGCTAGTAGACTTGTCCCTGGTGTCGACAGCTGAGCCTCTCTGGCTGTCCCTACTTCTCTGCATTGCCAGCATAGTCCTGCCATCCTTACCTCTCACCATGTCAACATGACAAAAGCACCCCCCAGCTCTAAGTCTAGAGAAGAACTCAGCTCTCAGGAACCAACCCTAGGTCCACGTCTTTGACACAAAACTCCACCTTTGACGACCTCCAGTACCCAGGGATTCCGGTCTTCAACTCTCCACTCTCACACGGACAACTTGCAGGAGTCAGTTCTCTTTCCATCATGGGTCCCAGGGGTCCAAATGAGATCATCAAATCTGGCAGCAGATACCTATACCAGCCGAACCACCTCTGGCCTCCTGGGCACTGTCTTATATGAAACTGAAATCATACCACTGTCTGGTAGATGTTTAATGTTTCTTCCTTTTCTTTCCGACAAGTGATTAGGATCTGAAATATGGGTTTTTGCTTTTAGTTTTTTTTTGTTTGTTTTTGTTTTATGATTTCTTTTCTTCCCTCTCCCACACTTAAGCTATTTCACAAAAGGAACACAGTTCAAGTGAGAGGAAGACCTTGAATTTGTTCAAACCCATGGAAGAACTATTTTTGAGGTATCAGCATAGTCAAGCTTCCTATGTGCTTAGCATTTAACAGTTAACTTCAAAGGTAAAGAAAACTGCATGCAGTGATTTAAAGGATCTCTTCTGGTAACTACACTTCCTTTAAAATTTCCATAAATCTGGATGGTGGGCAGCAAGAACAGCACCAAGTCAAATCGATGCTGTGATTAATGGTAACAGGCCATCCACAGCAGCCGGAACAGTGGCAAAAGCCCATCTGAATCTGAGCATGGTTTTCAATGGAGAGTGATAAATTACAAGTTAATGAAGAGCTGGCTGTAAGGCTGAGGTACAGCTCTATTTCAGACATGCCTGAGACATTCAATTCCGAGCAGGATAAGGGGAGCAGGGAGTTGATGCTAGACTTGCTAGAGAAGCTGTATCAATAGGAACAGCTAAGGTATAAGGTTGTAACTCACAATTCATGTCAATAATTTTTGAAGAGGTGATTTTTAATTATTATATTAACAATATATGGATTGTAAAACTAAATATAGAAAAAATGCCTTTGCCTGAGAACAGATGTAAAGTAATAGGGAGGGTAGCATAAAAAACAAGAATTGCTTGTTAACTAGACTAAACGAATTATGAATATGAAATTAAAGCTTTAAGACAGCTCAGCAAATAAAGATACTCATTGCCAAGCTTGACAACCTGAGTTAGATTGCCAAGACCCACACGATAGAAGAGAACCAACTCCCATAAGTCATCCTCTGACCTTTGCATGCTGTGGCTCATGCTGGAGCGTGCACACACAGATTTTTTTAAATATGAAATTGAGACAAATGGGCGAATTTACCTTTCCTTGGGATGTTATACAGGCACTGTTATTAAAGTACTATTAGAATCACTATCAGTACTAGTATTAAGTTCTTACTTAAAAACTTACGTTTTCTTATAAATAAGCAAAGATATGGAGGATGTGGTCATTTGGTTCTCTAGATGCAGCTGTCAGGCTTTCCCTTGCTGCCCTGGCTGCCTTGAGTTAAAAAAGACTGTCAGTCAGATAGCCAGCTAGACTATTCTAGGCCAGCATCTGCCATTTTGCACACTTCTGAGGGGTCCTGAACAAATGGCACAATGACCACAGATGCCTGCTCTGGCTCCTGAGGATGCAGCCATAGCCAGAACTGTTTCAAACCATTTGTACCAGAGTTTCTGCTACTGTGGCCTAAGTAAACTCTAGATGACCTAGGCCAGAGACAGGCAGCATTTTCCATGGTGGCCTAGCAAAGTGTCTGTTACAGACCAGCACAAAGGGGACATTGTCTTGTTTGGTGCCAAGACAAAACCGTTTGCGTGGGAGGTTGGCTGTGGTTCCAGCAAACACCTTTTCTCTGGCTACATAAACGGGCTGTGTGCTCACTCGGGGAGCTGTGTTTCCTCCCTCAGTTTGCCACACTGGGCTCAAGAAACGGCTTCTTCCCAGTGGTGTCCTCTCGTCCACATTCGCTGGCCCAGGCTGAGCTGCTAACAAGAACAGAGACAGTGGAACGGATCAGCGGCAGCAGCCATGGCTGAGCAGCCAGGACACTGCGTCACAGAAGCAGCAGAGCAGCCAGCTGCTCAACAGCTGGAGTAAAGCAGAGCTGGAGGGTCAACAGTCCAGGCTGTAAAAGCAGCAGAGTGGCAGCTGCAAAGGAGGTGGAGCCACTGAACTGTGCACGTGACCACAAAGGTAGCAAAGGAGCATTAGTAACTGCCCCAGACAGACAGTGGCAACTCAAACAACGGCCATAGCAACAAGAGGCCACTGAACAAGCCAAGCCAGGGCAAGAACAAGAGGAAGCATGGGAGGACACACAGCACAGGACGCTGGAGCCTGTGAGGGACCAGAGAATTGCAGGCCCTGGTCACTAGAAGACTTACAGAAAGTGTAAGGCCTTTATGGCCAGGGGTCTTCAGGGAGTCCCAGGCCTAGGAGCTTTAACAGTGGTCACCATCAAGAGCTTAGGAATCCCAGCTTCCTAGGTCTACACAAGAGCAAAATACTTGTAAAGCTAAGGGTCTTCGTACTCTAAGCTCGCACAGGAACTCTAACAACTTCCAAAGCTAAGGCTCCTGCTACTCAAGGCCTGCCTGAGAGTTGAATACTGCAGAGAGCTACCCACTTTTGTTCCTGCCTGCCTACTACCAACACTCAAAACTGCTAAGAGATAAACCCTGGACAGCTTCCCCTTGCCTCCCCACAATTCCATCTGCACAGAACAAAGGACAAAACTGACTGGTAACTGATTAAAATCGTATCTAAACACCAGTGTGGCGGTGCTCACCTTTAACCCCGGCACTCAGGAGGCAAAGGAAGGCAGATCACCGCGAGTTCCAGACCTGTGTGGTCTATATAGTGAGTTCCAACCAAGTCTACAATTAGATTCTGTCTAAAGCAAAATCAAACAGCAGCTGGCACATAGTGAATGGTGAGAACTGATGTATGTGAAAATGCATTATGTAAAAAAAAAAATCACAAAAAGTTACAAACGTGAACATTAATCATCGGTTCTGTCAGACTTTTCTAAATTCACTCTCCTATACTTTAGAATGACCTAACCACTAAAACACTCCTAATGTTAAACTCTTATAACGCAAGATCATACCTTTTGGATTTCTTCAGGTAATGCATGCACGGGAATGTGACGATTCATAATTCTCCCAATGTACTGAGGAAGCACTACAGAAAAACAGTCTAAAAACATTGATGGCAATAGTCAGAATTCATACATTGACAGGAAAATACAAATGATTTAAAAATTCTTAGTATCTGGGGACAAACTGGCAATAAGTACTTTGACAGATGTTTGTTTCATCAAGTCCATGTTAGAAGCTACAATTTAAGTTTCTGTGGTTAGTCCTTAAGCCACATGGGGAGCTATAAAAATTGACATATAGCTTTTCTATTTTTCAGAAAGTTATACACTAATAATAAAATAATAGTGGTTTAATAATTATTTGTTTTACAACAGAGTAACTAAGACTTTAAATAGACTTATTTCAGTATTCTAAAATAACATTTTTCTGAAAAGCTATAGAAAGAAATGTGCCAACAAGGCTTTTTGAAGCTATAAAGCACAAAAAACACTTAGAGTTACTAAGTTGGAATATATAGACACTGAACAGAAGAGCCACCATCAAAGACCACAAGCCAATTGCAGCCAGGATGGATAGCTATGCAAATTTACCTAGATTTTACTTTTAACAGATTTTCATTTTCTAACAACAACAATTCAGTATAAAACTCTTTTTATTACTTTCATGAAACCACAGGCAACAGAGATATTTTCTTCCTTCAAATTTTTCCCGAATTGGACAAAGACTACCCCATCCAATTTTATCAGTGAAAGATAAATCTATCCATGGAAAGGGTAAAGAGGACAGGGAGATGGCTTATTGAACAAAGTCCTAGCCACACAAGTGTGACTCCAGCACCCACAAATACAGGGCTGGTATGGAAGACCACCTGAAGTCCCAGACTTGGGAGGCAGAGACCAGGGTTCCTAGAAGCAAACCGGGTAGTTAGACTTGCTGAACTAACTAGTTCAGCATTCAGGTGAGAGACCCTGTAAGGTGGAGAGTGATGAAGACATCAGCATCAACCTCTGGCCTGCACACATACATAAACATGCATATACAGGTGTGCCCATGAACATGCATACACACCTGTATACCAACCACACACCTGCATACTAACCAAACACACACACACACACACACACACACACACACACACACACACACACACAAAGTGGAAGATGCCAAGGCCAGGATGGTGGTGTGGAGTGGTGCAGTGGATTCAAGTGATAGAGACTCAGATCCCCCAGCAGAAAAGAAGGTCTAAAGTGCTGTGGGATGGTCTTTCTGTATGCTGTGAATATGTGTTGCTACTACTGGTTAATAAAGAAGTTGCTCTGGCCTATGGCAAGACAGGTTATAGCCAGATAGGGAAATCCAAGCAAAGATAAGGGACAAGAAGGTGGAGTCAGGGGAGACCCTGAGTGCCGCCAGGGGAACAAGATGTAATGGAATACAGGTAAAGCCACGAGACATGTGGTGATATACAGATTAATAGAAATGGGTTAATTTAAGGTGTCAGAGCTAGCTAGCAAGAAGCCTGAGCCATAAACCAAACAGTTTGTAATTAACATTAAGCCTCTGAATGATTATTTTAAAAGCAGCTGCGGGACCGCAGGACAGAGAAATGTGTCCGGCTACACTAAAGCCCATGACTGATACACAGAGGTAATGTAAGAGTCAAGAAAGGAATATTGACCTATCTTTTAGGTGGGGGTGGGAAGCTAGCAAAGGCTTCCTAAGGTTGTTTGTGTTAGGTCAGGGCAAGAGACTGAAGACAAAAATCATACTGGTGTTATTATTGCAAACTGCTCAACCATTGGTGGGAGAGAGATTCCTCAACTCTGTGTTAGCCCACATATCCCTCATTTCAGTAAGCTGCTGTTTAAAACAGACAACTCATGAGTTGTCTTCCCACATATAACACAAGACAATGTGTATATTTGGCAATGTGAACTGAGGTCAACCCTGAGAGTTAAGTTAATTATGTAGAACTGGGTCCAAGTGACCAAGTACATAATCTGATGTTTGGCATACTGTCACAGTCACATGGCAAGAAACCAGGAGGCTGATTATCCTCAGTTAAGCCACCATTAGTTAATGGAAATGATAGTATCTTCAGTTCCACTAGGAATATTTTCCCCTAAAATTACCAACTAAGTCTCCTTGTAAAGTACCATGCACTACAGTATTAGTGAGCATGGGTCTAAATAACAGTATAAATTCAAGGTACCCGTGGAACGTATTTTATTTAGTGCCTTCACTGTGACTCTACTCCAACCTATTACTATACCACCAGAAGTGGCAGCCTTCAGACTACAAAAGAAAAATTGAAATTAGCACCCTAGTAAATTAGAGGGCCCTCCAAAACACAGGGGTGGGTGAGAATCGGAATGAAGTGTTGAACTTGACTTTGATGCTCATCGCCGAAAAGATGGTAACAAGATTAGGGATCCCATTCTTTTCGTACTGCCGAGATACATGCATTGCCTTCCTCCCAAGAGCATTACAAATTCGTCCTCAGGTAACAAGGTCTTTAACACTGTGTGCTATCCATTATTGTAAAATCCATGTAAACCGGGGTCACAGTCTGTGGGAGCTAGCTGCTTTTCTGCTAAGCAGTGAGTGCAGATGGTTACAAGTAGGAAGGCAGACACCTAAATTCCCAAGATGACGACAGAGACACTACTTTCTTCAATGTTTATTTTTTGTTATGCCTATAATTTAAGGAAAAGCCCACTGGGTCTTTATAAAGATTTGAATACCCAAAAAAAGAACACAGGAAGAATTCACAGATAATTCAGGTTTTTGGGGGAGGGAGGGGGTGTTTGCTTTTTGGCAAGAGAAAACTTGGAATTTTTAATTCGCCTGTCCATTATTTTGCCTGTTTTACCAAACGAGTTCCCTTTGGTCTTTCCCATTATACGTGTGTAAACTGCCCTGGGCAAAGTACAGTGGTACGTGGTTGCACCTACGTGGGTGTTTGTGAATCTTCTCTGCGACACAGGTCACGAGGAAGACGTGTGTTTTTAAATGCAGAAACGTCCCTGGTGGTTCATTTCCGATCCTTACACCAATGTCACGCCCGGTCATTAACTCGAGTTCTGTTTCCAGGCCCTTCCTCAAGTACCATTCCGGGGACGTGAATCACACGAGGGCAGGTCAGGGGCAGGAGAGCGAGCGCGAGGTCACGTCCCGAGACTGGAAACTAACCGCCTGACCGCGCTTGCCCAGGCCTGGCCCAGAGGCTGCCCTGTCTTCCCGCCTCCCCGCCTCCCCACCCCCGTCCTCCCCACCCCCGTCCTCCCCGTCGCCCCCGCCATCCCCGCCGTCCCGCGCCGCTAGCCTCCGCGCCGGAACTGAGGAACTCAGGAAGACCGTGACCCTCACCTAGCCCGGGACTCCGCAGGACGTGAAATGGCTTCCCCGGTCTCCCGGGCGACCGCGCTGCACGTTGGCCTGACGTCAGGGCGCGGTGACGTCACTGCCCACGCCGTCGCCGACGCGGAAGCAGAGCATTGCATCACTAGGGGCTCCAGGCGGAAGCTGGACGCAGGTGGCGGGGGTCGGAGGAAAGAGCGGATTTGCGCACAGTTCTGTGACGGACAGGGTTGAAGTGGGGCTCTGGAACTCGCGGGGACAGCGGGCAGCCGAGGCTGATGAGGGGGCGGGCGGTGCGGGAAGTGGGGGGCCATCTGGCGTAGAGCAGGGGCAATCATGGCTCTCAAATGGAGGGAAAAGATGCTCATAGATGGCATGACATGCAGGGAAGCACGTTCTCAGCCATTGCTGGGAAAAGCATGCATAGAATTTCATTCTGGTTCAAAAGTCAAGATGAAGGGCTTAGTTCATGAGGATATTAAGACGCGCTGCTCCACACTCATTATGGAAGGCCTCTGGTTTTCACACACTGCTGACTGGCCTTTAGTCCTACATTCATTCGTAAAGCAAATATTAATGACCTACTACACGACAAGCAAGCAGGATGAGATGATGCTTGGTGACTAACCCAGGCCATTAGTATGATAAGTACCTTCTTCGTAGTCCACATGTCTCCTTTTTCAGGATTATCTGAGGTCCAAAGTACTGATCCTCCAGGAACTATAGAAAACACGGTTTTCTAGTAGAAAAGACATTACTATTAGAGGATTAATAGTTTGCATGAATATCAATAAAATGGCACTGAAAAGGGAAAGAAGACCAGGAAGTGTGAAATAATACCAAAACTATTCAAGCTGCTGGTTGGTAGCTATCTAGTATCAAAATGACAGCATGAAAGTAGTGAACACTTCCCTAAGTCATGAAAAGGATACCTAACACAGAAACCAGCAACAGTTACTATCAAGTAGCTAGTATTATGTACTGTATTTTACTGAATATATACTATGGGGCTAGAAACAGAAGACTTCCACCAGCATCAGCACATACACGAGTTACGTGTTGCTCAAAATATTCCCATGACTTTCATATCACTGGGGGGTAGGAATTTTCTGTTCCTTGTAATATTGAAGAACTGTTGAATGTTATAACCACTGTACTGGTCTGTCATTGACCAAAATATTGTTATAGGGCACATCACTACAGATTTGGCAATGATATTCTTTACTGAGCACTTAGTATCTAAAAAATGGCAACCCTCTGAAAATGGGGTGAAATCCTGTGGAAAGGTTATAATTCACGTTCATCTATGCTTACTCATCTACATATCACTTTGCGTTTATTTTCCTTGCCACTATGAATGCCCCTCAAATCTTCAGTGTCCATTATAGTAAGTAGCCTTAGATGATATGAAATAAATTTAGAAATCCCATTGCTGATTAACTAGCCACACTTCAAGTACTGAATTGTCACATGTGACACCCATACAGAAAGTTTTCATCATTATAGAAAATTTAATTAGATAATGGTAGACCCAGTAAGATACTGAGAATGCCTCTTTGGAAAGAACAGGAATAAGAAGTGTATTTTCAATTGGTTGTCCTGTGCAAAATGGTCAGCCCTGAAAACATACATACAAGTAACAGTATGTGGACTCAACAGGTTGTATTTGGGAATATATATGTATATACAAATACATGTATGAATTCGATAACAATTGATGAAAAATGTGCCTAGTCTTACTGCATCTTGTTATGCTGTGTTTGGTGGATATCCGTGGGAGGCCTGAGGGAAATGGAGGAGCAATGCATCTGGGGAGAGGGGAGATTGGGAGGGGAGAACTTGGAGGAGTGGAGGGAGGGGAAATTGTAGTTGGGATGTATTGTATGAGAGACAAATAAATCAAAAAGAAAAAAAGAGGCTATGAATTAGGAGGAAACTGGGGACAGATATGTTTGTAATTAAAATACAATCTCAAAAATTAAAAAAAAAACCTTTAAAATAAAAAAAAGTGTAGTTTCTAAAGGAGTTAGCACAGATCAAAATATGACTGGTGAGTACTTTAAAGAGTAATTAAAAAAAAACAGTTCCAAGGACTGTCCTGTGTTGGTATTTTTTCTTTTTCTTTTTTTGTGGGGTGAGGTGGGGTAGGGGCATTGAGACAGGGTTTCTCTGTGTTGCCCTGGCTGTCCTGGAACTCACTCTGTCAACCAGGCTGGCCTTGAACTCACAGAGATCCCCTGCATCTGCCTCCTGAGCACTGGGATTAAAGGCATGTACCATGACCGTCCAGCTTGCTATTTTTTCTTATTATCTGTTGATTTCTATTACTCCCTCTTTCTCTCTCTTTCCCATCCTTTTTCCTCCATTCCATTACTGCCCATCCTATAACTAAAATGCAATCTAAATATGTCCATAGGGATATATGTCATATGTCCATATTGAATACAATTTTGTGCTATCCTTTTGTTGATTTTGTTGATTTTGCTCATGTGTGTGTGTATGTGCGCATGTGCCTTGTGCTTCAGAATGAACCCAGAGCACTATATGTGCTAGGCAAGTACTTTACTATTGAGCTATATAGGTAGCCGTGTGTGTGTGTGTGTGTGTGTGTGTGTGTGTGTGTGTGTGTGTGTGTAGTCTCACTGTAAGTCAGCTGTCTCACTTTTTACTGTGACTTTTAAAGATAATACACTACTTTTTAAAATTAAATTCCTTTTAACTGCTTTGTGACTCTTTCTTGATATTTTTCCTGTGGGTCAGTGACCCCTGAAAGAAAAAAAGATGCCCTCCTGGTTTATAGAGTGTCTGTATATGAACAAAATTCAGCTTTCTACGTGGCCTGAAAACCTCTTATAGTTTATAAGAACTCCTGTGTGTTTGTTACTGTAGGAATTTCCCTAAAATACTCATCCCACAAGACAGTCATTCATTTTGGTCACTTGCTTTGTGCTACGTCCTCTCCTTTCCCATGCACCTATGAAAAGCAGTATAGGAAAATAGGTACTTTGTTTATAAGTCTGCTAAAAACAACAGGAAGTCCACCCAAGATGGCTGATTTTAAAGTCAATGCAGAATGGTACAAAGGTAGCATGATAAAATTACAGTTAAGTCCAACCGTATTTTCATCCTGCAAACCACAACACAATGCAACTCTGTCCTCTTATAAGCTGGAATAAAATGGTTGCGATCAGGCCTCCCAGGGTGGAAACAACTGCTGCTTTCATTGCTATTTCTGGGCTTCCTCCAATGCAAGTGCAGAATTTTTAAAAAGCTAACATTTATTGGGTTCATTCTGTTTACCAGGCACTTCATACACAATGCCTCGTTTAATTGAGAACCCTTCCAAACATAACTCTGTCAGGTCCTACTTACTGTTTACTTTGATAGAAGTGGCCAAGGGCATGGCCCATCATGTGAACACAGAAGTGGCTGGATCTGGGGTGAGTGTAAGTGGAAGCACCTGGGCCTCACATGTTGAGTTAGTTGTCTCTGCCAGACATCGGGTCTTCCTGGAACATTAGCTTACTGTGGATTAGAGACACATGGCTCAGACTTGGTTTCTTCATGACGTTTGCCATACAGCTTCTAGCTTTCAAAAGAGGTTAGCTACAAAGACCACTGTGCTTTGTTTTATACGCCCAGCACATTTTCTTCTCACTAAGATGGGATTTTCTTCCATCCCGGACTTCTAGCATGCTATTACATTTAAAGCTGCAGATGGCCTTATAAAGCTGATTTGCATATTGAACCCCAAATAGCTGTGGTCTAGAAATGAGTTAGACCACAAATACTATTTGTAGGTTTGGGCTCTGTATCTTTTATCAATCCTATATATACAACATAAATGAGTGTGTGGTAAAATAAAGGTCACAGGGTTTAAATGGCATCTCTCTAAAACGTCAAGTACTTCATCATTTGTGCAGAATCATATTGTGTAACAAATATGAATTTGTTTGAGCCTTCGACTATAATTGTTGAACAAATTTCCCGTGAGACAAGTTATATCCTTAAATGATAAATATCTATTTTCAAATATGAAGATTAAAACACTCACTACAGGGGCTGAAGAGATGACTCAGCAGTTAAGAGCACTGTCTGCTCTTCCAGAGGACCCCAGGTTCAATTCCCAGCACCCGTGTGACAACTTACAATTGTCTGTAACTCCAGCTCTAGGGGATCTGACACCTTTACACAGACTTACATACAGGAAAGTCACCAATGCACATAAAATAAAAATAAATCATTTTAAAAAAAGACACTATAGCAAAATTTATGACTGTAAATGTATCGCCTGTGGCCTGCTCACTACCAGGAAGAGCTTCATTAAAATATGTATTGTGTCAAATATAATACAGTATTTGTTATATCCATATAGTCTAAAAACACAAAGGTATAAAGCTCTAATGACAACAACTTAATACCCATAGTGAATTTGACACTCAGAAATACGGTACTGACAACTCCTTAAAAATTGATCTTCCCACTAAACTCAAATTCCGTTTATTAAATTCTCAGGATCTCAGTCAGGCTTACAATAAACACCTCATAAATATTAGATGCTTCAAAAACCTGAAGATCAGGGACTGGAGAGAAGTTGAGAGCACTTACTGCTCTTGCAAAGGACCCACATTTCAGTTCCCAGCACCCACTTAGGCCAGGTCACCATCACCTATAGCTTCATAACCAAAAAAAATCTCACGCCGTCTTCCAGACTCCAAGGGCACCTTCGCTCACATGTGCACAGACATGAACAGAGAGACACATATATGTACGCATAATTAAAAACTGAAAATCCTTTTTAAAACCCTGAACCAAAAATTAGTAACTTCCTTATACATTGAAAAAAACAATGTATAGTGAGTAATGTATAATGTATAATGTGGTAGCACACCACTGCAGTTCTGGCACTTGGGATCAGGAGGGAGGAGGATCTTGAGTTGCAAGCCACCCTGGACTACATAGTAAGATGTTATCTCAAAAACAAACAAATGAAAACCTTTCATTTCTGAGATTTCCATGGATGTCTTGATTCACGTTTATTTGGATGAGTGCCTGGCAGAAGTGATTCTATTTTCCTTATTATGATGCAGCTTGCAACTGTACATTTGATTTTAGGTAGCTGCTGAATTTATAGGAAGTGAACATTAGTCGTTTCCCTGATATTGTGTGTCTCTGCTAAAGACTTAATGGCATTAACTAAGCTGTGGGCT